TAATAAGTTGTGGATTCCCGAAAAATATCATGACTATTACAATGACATAGTAAATTGTTAATTTCCTTATATTATATAATAACTTAATTTTTTTCTGCGTTCGATCATTAAATTTGTAATGTTCACATAACTTCGTATAGGTACTACAATTTATCTCTTTAATGAAAAATATTGTATTGAAAAAAATAGCGGTATCGAAGTTTGCATTAAGATTTGGCACTACTCGTGCAGTTCGGTGATTCTATGCACTTTGTTTTTCAAGTATAGTTTTAGTTTCAGGTTTGCGACTGCCTGTCACATCGTGACAATGCATTGGTCTGTAATGAAAGTTAATTTCTAGTTTGTATTAATAATACAAAAATTAAATCACCTTCTCTTGAATTGATCCTTTATTATGTTCTAATTTTTTTCGTAGAAACTTTTGAAACCAAACTTTCTTCGCGGCAGTTCTTGAAAACGTACTTTCTTCGCGGCAGTTTTTGAAAACGTACTTTTTTCGTGGCAGTTTTTGAAAATGTACTTTCTTCGCGGCAGTTTTTGAAAATGTACTTTCTTCGCGGCAGTTTTTGAAAACGTACTTTTTTCGTGGCAGTTTTTGAAAACGTACTTTTTTCGTGGCAGTTTTTGAAAACGTACTTTCTTCGTGGCAAATTATTCAAATAAATTCTTTTCGTAAGACCCATCGATATGGTTATGATGTCGAAACTAAAATCTAATCGTCCCAATGGAAGATCCTAGAAGAGCCATCACCCAAAAAAGCACGCCAAGTTCGAACAAATGTCAAGGTTTTGCTTACTGTCTTCTTTAACCTGTTAACCGAGCGGGACGTATAAATACGTCCAAAGTAAACAACAATAATTACAGGTAGCACATATGAATACGTCCTCGATATTTGTATTGCGCCCTGGAACGGGCGGGACGTATATTTTACTACTACTATGGTAATACGTCATTCATACACGTCTTAGTGGAAAAGGACGCGCCCGTTATAAGTTGCGTAATTAGAAAGGGATTTCCCCGGTGAACAGGTTAATTACCGCGGCGTTGTTCATCAGGAATTCTTACCACAAGGTCGTACGGTCAATAAGGAGTATTATACATTGAAGTTATGTGTCGCTTGCCAGAGGCAATACGCAAAAATCGTCCAGAAATTTGGAAAAACAATTCGTGAATTTTACATCACGATAATGCACCTGCTCATTCATTGTTGCTTGTGAGAGATTTTTTGGCCAAAACCAACACCACAGTCATGCCTCAGCCTCCATATTCACCGGATTTGGCTCCTAGTGACTTTTTTCTTTTCCTAAAACTTAAGAAACCCATGAAAAGACATCGATGTTTAACGATTGAGGAGATAAAAACTGCATCGTTAAAAGAACTCAAGGCTATACCTTAAAATGATTATCAAAAGTACTTTGATGATTGGAAAAAGCGCTGGTACAAGTGTATTATATCTAATAGAGATTACTTTGAAGGGGACAACATATTAGTACATTACGATACAAGTGCGCAAAGTAGGCGATTCCCGCACGCGCGAGGGTTACCGACCGAGCGAAGCGAGGTCGGTAACGCGCGTGCATGATCGCCTACGTTTCGCACGCGTATCGTATACTATTTTCTCGTACGAGATGCGAAAAGTTCGATTATACTTTGAATTTGTGAGATGGGTGGAAAAAGAAGGTTTTATAATTAAGGAATAAATGTGGAAAAACACGCAAAACATTTTTTTTCCCCATTGACAATGTAGATGGCGAAAAATATTGGGAAAACGAAGTCCTTTCCCACTCCACGCAACTCATTTTTAAAAATGAAAATTCAAAAACTATGTTCTTGAGGTCCGACGGAAAACATTCTGCCAGTACAAATTTGGCAGTTGTCCTTTCGCGTTTGTCCTTTCTAGTTCCTTTCAATTCAACAAAAATGTCTAAACAAAAGGTGCTACAGAAATAAATTTGGCATATACAATAGATTTAAATAAACATTAAATTTAAAAACATTTAAATTACATTAAATTTTTATAACTGTAATGTAATCATAAATAGGTCTGGAGATAAAAAATAAAATTGATTTTTCCTAGATTTTTTTCATTGGAGAAAATTTATCTTCCTTAATTACAGTAACTGGCGAAAATTTGTCTTCGCTAATTACAGTAATCGGGAAAAATGTATCTTCCCCAGTATTCCCTCGTTAAACTTTGTAGGCATTGACGCATTTTTTCCGTGCGCAAAGTATTTCCCCCACGCAGTTAGCGTGCGCAAAGTATTTCCCCCACGCAGTTAGCGTGCGCAAAGTATTTCCCCGTGCGGGAATGGGTTTGCGCATGCGCAGTTCCGTGTTACGATAAGCGTGCGGGAATCAAGGGTTTTGCACACGGAAAAGTCTGCGCAAAATCGAACTTTGCGCACGCTGTGCGAGAAAAATATTTTTTTAGAAAACCATAGTCACCATACCTTTTGAACACCCCTTATATATTTTAGTTCTAATTTTAAAAAACCTAAAATGTTTGATCCACTATATTGAATCCACCATTTTAAATGTTTGTAAAATATGACTCCACATTCTTGATCAGCGACCCCAAAAAGCTGAAGATGGATCATTTTTAGCATATGTTCCATCTAATTTCGCTCATAATGAATTAAATTCATAAAAATACCCTTATTTTGTGTATATTTATTTATAACAATAATAATTATGTATAAATTAGCAAACATTTCAAGAAACTTTAAAGTTTCAGAAGTTTAGTAGCAAAAAACGGTAAGCTTACATATTTACCGATGATTTCAAAGAATAAATAACTAAAAATGGAAAATGAAACATGTAGCCACTAGTTATTTCTGTAACCGAAAGAGTTAAATAACTATGCATTTAAATTATATTAAGCATGCAGCAGTTTTACTTAGTGACGTTGCAACATTTTAAATGAAATATTTTTATCAATCTGCGACGACTGCATGTCATTCAAAAGACCATAAAATGAGCTTCCAAACATAATAAAACATGATTTTATATATTTATATTTAACTAAGTAATAAAACTTTGAAGTTTGAGTATATTTTGTTTTTGGGCTAAAAAAAATTAAACAATACTGTATATAATAATATATTTATATAATAATAATATATTTATATAATAATAATATATTTATATATTATTATATATGCTCCAACACAAACATATAAAGTTTAATAAATAAGATATTATTAACTTTCTATTAATCATCATTTATTATTTTTAAGTAACGTTTCAGCTGTTTTCAAACAATAATAATCTCCAGCTTCCTTCAGGCAAAAAGATGGTAACTGGATTGACAGAAAGTTAATAATATTGTATCCATTATATTTTGTTTATCCAATCATTAGCATTGTAAGAAAGAAATAAACATAAAAACATTGTTCCTTCATATATTATCAAAAGTTGGATATGTTCTATACTGATGACATGCGATTCAATACATATGATCATACATGAATATGGATCACTTGACCTGGGCAGTGGGGATTTGAATAAAAAAGATACAGATTGTAAGATTTTTATGCACACAGGAGCTTTATGTTTCTCTGCAGCTTTGCAGTTCCTAATAATACGGTAGAACTGCATGTATATTGGTATAAATAAATCAAATAAGTAAATAAATAAATAAACCATGAGAATGGTTTTTCTTTCTTTCTTCATTTACGTTCACTAATCAAGAACAACTTCAAAAAAGAGATAAAAAGCAATTTATTAATTAAATTTATAATTTTTAGTTCGAATATATGGAATCAAGACTGCATATTTAAATTTTGAATGCAATGAAAATTTATTGTCTCTTTCCTCGAAAACATTATATTCACTATTTGTTCAATCAATTGCTGTTGCAACCATACAAGACTAAATTTTAAAATAGGCGCATAAAAATAATAAAAAATGAAGTATCAAAACTCTATAACTAACATTGATAACTGACATTAAAGTAAAAATATTTGGCATACTGAAGCATTTAATGGGTTCAAGCTGGTTTTGTTATTTTGTAAACATAAAAAACAGAAAGAAATCACAGTAGTAAATTTTATAAAAGTTCATAACATTTGAAAGTTAATCAGAAAAATTAATGTTTATTAAAAATAAAATTTGTTCCAGTCATCATAAGATATGATATTAATTAAATTTTGAAAGAAAATTAATTATTTATTTTCTATAAAAAAAGCCATGATATTATTATGTTATTATTCTAAAAAGAGATTGTGTTCACAGATAATAAAGGCAGATTATATAGTACTTTCAAATAAATTTGTGATTCTGGTCAATGGGTATATCCCATTGGATTGCTATTTTATTAAATGATAAAAATTAATAAGCTAAAATTTTTTGGAAATTGGTTTCATATATTTGTATTATTTTGCTTAGCACAAAGTTTGTATTTTTATTAATTGTTTTTGTCAACAATAATTAGTTATCTTACAATCATAAGAGAATAACTGAATATTATATTTGAATTTCTCAATAACATTAAATAATAAAATATTTAAAATAAATTACTGGTATTAATCAATATTTGGATTCCATAAACTAATAAATTTAATAAATACATAATAAATGCATTTTTAAATTTTGAAGTGTACTCTAGTCTCATAAGGTTAGATAACATAACGAAATGATATATTTACATGTATTTAATCAATTTTTAGATTTTTTTAAATTAAAAAAATAATATTGAGTTCAACATTCTTCAGATATTTTTTTCTATTATCCCAGAATTCTTGCTTATTACTCTATGACTTTAATTTACAACAAATTTCGTATAGGTTTATTGAATAATTAAATAATGTTATGGTTATTTGTGAATGGAGAAGAACACATTTTTCAAATGTTCAAATAAAAGTGAATACTTATTATTACATCGCTAAGAATTGGAATATTCAGCCTATACTTATTTAGTTATATAATAATTTGTTACCATTACCAATATCATCAAAAATTATAAATAACTGAATAATCAAACAAATAAAAATATAATTTACCAGCATGTGATATAAACCGAGCTGTGGTATTCAAAATTGTTGGATTGTAATGCTGTGTATGTGAAGACTGTGATCCAGTTATTGCAGATGGCTGGCTTATATTTACACCAATAATATTTTGTGGCTGCAGATGTGAATGATGTGATTGATGATGATGAGTAAGGTGATGATGTTTTCCCTTTGTTGGCATACTCATCTTATAAATGCGACGTATTGGAAATTGGCCTTAGTCGCTTTAAAACATATAACTGATCCACTTATTGTGACCCTCATAAGGATTCAAGGTGAACTTATTTTAAACAAATTTCTCGAATTCTAAAAATTTTAATATACATATAATTCACATTGAGTACAAATATTTTTACTACTTAAATAAATCTTGGCACTTGAAAAGATTATCAATTAAAAATTATTTTATTTTACATAAATATTTATTTATGAAAAATTTAGAATAATTCTAGTTGTTTTTGTGTACTTTATCATAACCAAAAATTTTCCATATTTAAGTAAATTAATGAAACTCTGTATTTATTATCTGATAGATAAAATAAAAAATTAATTTATTATTAATTCTAATAACTATAAATTATGCACATTTATAACAACTAGATGGTGCCATTATTTTATCATAAGCTAAGTATGTACTGCTCAGCATGGATAAAATTTATGAAACTTTTCTAATAGAACTATATTTTTGAGATCATATTTTCCAATATATTCCAACTCATTTAATTAAAATCAATATAATATATTTATTATTACTATCCTAGATGATAGTAAATGTTATAAAAATTGATAATTAAAAATACACAAACGTATGACACTCAATTTGCATGCTATTCACAGCTCAGTTTTACATACGTACTTCACACGAAAGCCGAAACTCGCATTGTGTATACATAGGTCTAAAACCGTATATATAGGTTTAACCACGAATAAGGCCTTAAAAGAACACTCAGAATTAGTTTTTTTAAATAATCGATAAACTAATTCTGCCACTAGATAGTTTGTGAACAGAGAATGCTTAGATTTTTCACCATTTGTTAGTTCGTCTCTAGGAAACCGTATGAAAAGAATAAAATTAATATTAGGTACTAGGTCCTAGCACCAAGATCAAATTTGCGGTAAAATAATACATAATATATTTATAAAAGAATTATTCGTATACCTATCGTTATCTCGTGGGACGAACAATGGTATCCATTATAAAATGAGAGATAAATCAATCATTTAAGTAATTACTTAGGCCCTCGCTACATATGCGCATACGCGCGCGTACGAAAGCATACAAATGCGTACAAATCGATAAAAATTTTGATAGTGCCAACAACAGAAAGTTACTACTATTCCTCGCATTCCCCAAACGAACATACTTACTCCCGGAACAAACGAATCATAACGCTATATTATTGAAGGTTATGATACGTTTGTTCCGGAACTAACGCTATATTATTGAACGTTATGATACGTTTGTTCCGGGACTAACGCTATATTATTGAAGGTTATGATATACGTTTGTTCCGGGACTAAGTGTGTTCGTTTGGGGCATGCGAGGAATAAAAGTAACTTTCTTTTGTTGGCACTATCAAAATTTTTAGCGATTTGTACGCGTTTGTACGCCCTCGTACGCGCGCCTATGCGTATATGTAGCGAGGGTCTTAGGTATTAAAAAACCAAATTAGCATACAGCTACATGCTCAAGGCCAAACACCAAAGTTGCGCGTATGCATCCCATCGAGATAACCTTAGCCGAAAATTGATTGAATTCCTCAAAAAAAATATACTACTAGCTTTCCCTTATTTTATACCACCTGAATACTGTTTTTATAAGATTTCTATCCTCTCCTCCCTTCTCCAAATTACGAAAAAAAAATAATTTATAGAGACCAGTGATGAAAATCCTATGAGGCTACAAAAAATTTCATTTTCTTGAAGTCGTATCACATCTATATTGTTTATACAACTATGTCCAAGCTGCTCGCGGCACTACCTCCCTTACCCCAGCCTGCAAAGTGTAATGGACAGTAAAAATAAAAAATACCATTCGAAACATCTCTAATTGAACCCTCCAAAAATGCTCGTTATTTTAATTGAACCCCTTCAGTTGTCCCAAAAAAAATTAAAAACTATGATAATTTTTTCGTTTTTTGTAACTGCGATATCTTTAGTAATACTTAATATTTTTGTAAAAGAAACAAGGCAAAAAATTGAACCTTTGCTCGTTTTAATTGCACCCCTCTCACTTTTTCAAAATTATTAATATATATGTCAAAAACAACAATCTAACTTTATTGTATGTTCTTTCCAAATAACCCAATAACCTAATAATCTATTTGAAAAGAAGATACAATAAAGTTAGATTGTTGTTTTTGACATATATATTAATAATTTTGAAAAAGTGAGAGGGGTGCAATTAAAACGAGCAAAGGTTCAATTTTTTGCCTTGTTTCTTTTGCAAAAATATTAAGTATTACTAAAGATATCGCAGTTGCAAAAAACGAAAAAATCATCATAGTTTTTAATTTTTTTTGGGACAACTGAAGGGGTTCAATTAAAATATTGAGCATTTTTGGAGGGTTCAATTAGAGATGTTTCGAATGGTATTTTTTTTTTCACTGTCCATTACACTTTGCAGGCTAGGGTAAGGGGGGGTCGCGGCACTGCCGACTATGAATCTTGGGCATAGTTGTATAATCAATGTAGATGCGATACGACTTCATGAAAATGAAAGTTTTTGTAGCCTCATCGGATTCTCATCACTGATAGAGACTTAAGAAATTGGAATTAACGTTTCAGTTTTAGTTTACTAGATGGCGGTGGGTCTCTTGGCTGAGACTCCGATATGCCAAAACGCATGCGTTGACCAAGGAGAATTCGTAGTTTGAAATTCAAGTAGTAAGAGTTCAAAAACTAGAACCAGATCATGAATTTTCATGGTGTAATTCAGAAAAAGTATGCCCTGGAAATGTAGAGAATGAATTACTGTTGAGTGATTCTGTAAAGAAAAAAATATGTTCAATGTCACCTGTGCAGTTATTTGAACTTTTTTTCTCTAAAGAAATAAAAAATTATATCATTGAAGCTAGCGAAGCAAATGGATTGGATTTATCCGTACAAGAACTTAATACTTTTGTAGGAATATTACTGCTATCTTCGTACAACATACGAAATGAGCTAAGGGAGTATTGGGAAACTGACCCTCTTGTGAAGTGCTCTGTAGTTTCTTCAGCAATGAGTCGTGATAGGTTTTGTGAAATAAAAACAAAAATAAAATATTCTAAACCTAAAGATAAAAATGACCATGACAAAGCTTGGAAAGTTCGGGAAATATTAAATCTATTCAAAACAAATATTCAACAATTTGGCTTTTTTATGGCAGCTCTTTCTGTAGATGGAATGATGGTCAGATTTTTTGGACGTACTTGCCTAAAACAATATTTACCTTGCAAGCCTGACAGATATGGACTAAAGCTCTGGGGATTGTGTGGAGCAAATGGGTATTTGTTCAATATGGACATTTACTGTGGTAAAAATGATACTAGCATTGGAATAAATTTAGCATCATGTCCACTTGGATCCAGAGTAGTTGTACAAATGATCAATCCTCTTTTACTTGGCATTTCAAAAAGAAAGCTATTAGACTATCACCTCTATTTCGATAATTATTTCACTAGTCCTGATTTAATTGTACACTTGGGCAAATATGGATTGCGATCGACAGGAACTGTACGCAAGGATAGAGTGAAAGTAAAGCATACTTTTGAAAAAAAAGCTCCGCGAGGAACATTCAAAGTGGATCATGACACAAACAGTGGTATGAACTTTATTACTGTAATTGACTCCAAAGAAGTATCTGTTTTATCTACAGCAGTTGGTGTTACACCTATAAAACCAATAAAAAGGTATTCACGAACTGCTAAAGATAGAATAGAAATAGGATTTCCTTTTGCCTTCTCACTGTACAACAAATTTATGGGAGGCGTAGACTTGCACGATTTTCTATGTAAAAAAGCTTGCCCAAGTATTAGCTCAAAAAAATGGACATTCAAAATTTTCTCGCGTATCCTTCAAGCTTCAGTTACAAATGTTTTAACACTTTGGAACATTTGCAATACCGACAAAACTAAACATGTTACAACAAAATATTTATGTAAAGAAATCAGTAGAGTGTATTTATCCAATTCTAAATTGGGCGATTTCCAATCTCATCAGTATGAAACTAGAACTAGAGCAGTATGTAACTACAAGGAGTGTCGTCAACGAACTAGCAGATTTTGCATTGATTGCGACAAGTACTATTGCTTGCACTGTTTTCCTCTTTTGCATCAAGCGAAATAATTTTTTTCTCTAAAGTAATCATAAATAATTAAAAAAAAAAAACAAAAATACAAAAAAAATATAAAAATAACTAAAATGTAAAAAAAAAAGAGACTGACTATATTCGTCGACCTCCATGATGGTGATAGTTGGGCAACGTAAAAAAATGCATTTTACGGCGAACAAGCGAAATATGCACTTTGATACCACATTGATACTAATGGGAAAATTTTCACAAGAAGTGCACATACAAAAAAATTTATAAGAATGAAATATTCTTAGAATAAACTGTAGAATACGTGGGAATTATTTTGGATTTTTTGAGCAACTTTTGAATTTTGCATAAATTTACAGTTTGCAAAAATAAAAAAATTTTCTTAAAATCTTTTGAAAAAATTTAGGTGCATTCTTTGCGTAATTCTAAGAACATTTTCTTCTTTGGCAATTTTTCCATAACCCCATAGTTGTTAAGTTAAAAATTCATAAACATATTTACAAAAATTTTGCAATCGAGGCGCCATTTTGAAACTCCCCAGGTGAAAAATCGATCCGAAAACGATGAGACCTTAATATTCAGACATTTATTCCACCAGTTACAGAGGTTCCGGGTCAATTCCACTGGAGAAACCTTTTAAAAACTCGATTTAAAAAAAAAAGGAGTGAAAAAATCATGATTTTTTTTTTAAAACTGCATTTTGCAATAGTAAAAAATTTTTTGGAAAATTGAGATGAGCACCATCGGAAAGAGCAGATCTTAAACTTTCAGAATATAGCTCTTTCAATTTTTTTTGGCAATTTTAACGTCAGTTATAAGCTCTCAAATACCAGGGTAACGTGAGTGGCGTTTTCGGCGGAAACGGGTTAATGTGTTAATGCCTTTTGTGATAGCTGATTTACCTAGTTGATCTATTGTTTCGTTATGTGTGATTTGAGAGTGGGAGGGAATCCATAGTGAGTAAGCGTTCTATTGTAGGATTTTTATATGATTGAGATCCATTATTATTGTTATTAAGAGTGATTTTGTTGTTATGTAAATGTGATTATAGTGTTTGAGGGGGTAAGATTGAAAAAGTTTTATGGTGGGAGTTGGGGAGAGTTAGGAGATGTCTGTGTTAGATTTGTAAATTGCATGACTTTGGGATCTATAAAGAGATTGGTAAGAATGTTGGCACATTCTTCGTGTAAGATTAGTATGTTGTTAAATAAGTATCCGTTATCATGTTGAATGATATGTAATTGACCAACGTTGTGTTCGTCTGTTTCGGTTGGTTCATTTTGTTGTGAAAAGTCATGAGTGATACCTGTTATTTTAGGATTTAAATTGTAATTACCAGTAGGATTTATTAGTGTTTCTAGATGATCTTTGGGGTAAGAAGAGCAAGATTTCATTGTGTGGATTGAGATAGGAGTGCTTTGGGGTTTTTTTTTGAGATTATTTGAGAGTATGAGGATGTGTATTTATTTATATTGTGAGAAGATGAAGGTGAGGGGGAGTGAAGAGGGTGATTTGAGAGAGTTGATATAATGATTTTTTTGAGAT